TGAACTTTAAAATGTATGGGCTACATTATTTCGTTGGCTACGTATTTTCTTTCATATCACTCCACATTACGTATACGTAATGTGGAGTCTTATTTCGCATGAACTATTAATTATAACAAAACTCGAACAAGTTAAGTATTCACTGGATGTAACTATAACTCACTTATTTGACACCTCTTTCCAATATTTCTTTCAACATTTGTTAACATATTTGGGTACGCTAAGGAGTAACAAAAGTATTTTCGGGTACTTCTATATAAATCAAACAAAAAGATTTAACTTTTTGCTCAAAATATTCGATTTTAAGCTTTTACTTTACACGTTTGTGGTCCTACATCTATGTAGTAAATAAGACAGCAAATTTAATTACGACATTAAACATAAAAACAAAGGTATCAATGCGAAGCGCATCATAGTTTTTCTAGAACGTAATAAAAATTAAACAAAAGGATTTAACTTTTGGCTTTAAACATTTCACTTGTATACTCTCACTGTACACTTTAATGGTTCGTCAATGTCGTAAATATGACAACAAACTTGATTTAAGAAATTGAACATAAAACAAGATGCGAGGCGCGTCATATTCTTTCATCAACGTCATAACCCTCACCATATTCAAAGTTTATACGTGGACAGTAACAGGGAATTTATCCCACTTCTGATATTAGAAACTATTCCACTTCTGATGTTAGAAACTATTCTCAAAATGATTTACATAAAATTATGTTACTCGTATTAGAATTTACTCTGAAGCAAAAACGAACCGATCTAATAATGGCTGCACAGTGACTCTGGCGTGACAGTTTAGTTCTAATCTACGCCACTTGGCGCTACCATGAATATTTCTTATTTTTCTTTTATTATTTTACTCTCATTTCTAACAATAATATTAACAACATCATGAAACTTCTCCATTTTCTGTCTTATTTTTCAATTTCTGACGCGAAAATAATGCTGAAGTAGGCTTGAGACATCTTTTTAGTATCAATATAAACTTACACCCACGTCCAATGAACAAGGATAAAATTTTGTTTAATTCTTTCAAATGTGAAAAAACCATAATTTTTTATCCTTCATTTGGCCCCATGCTACGGGCGGGTTATATATGTCTACGGGTTATATATGTCTACTCGTTATATCAAACGGGGATATATTTCTCCTTTCACCCGTTGCCGTGATTTGGCTTAGGGACAAGATAACTTTATCTTATAATTTTTTTATATAATCGGGGGATAAAAATTTATCCCCAGCCCATGCTAGCCGGGCAGAGAAGTGCGAAGTAGCTGGGCAGTGCAAGGATGCGTAGCGAGGCTGTGGAACGTAGTGAGCGTTTCCACCAGAGATGTCCTAGGCCTCTGAGCGGTACAAGGATGCGTAGCGACGCTGCGAAACGGTGCACATATGAGCAGTGCGAGTATGGCTTCTGGTTTCTGATGATGTTAGTACTGTTACCCTTTTGGCTCTTACAGCTTCAACGGAATCAATGCTAAATGTGTGAATTTTTATGATTGTGCGACTGACTCCTAGGACACGTAAATAAGTTATATAACGGCCATCCAAACAGGGGGTGACGGGCCCCGGCTCTGACGGCAAACTCGTATCGTTCCATGTTCTAGGCGGTGAAAACCGCCAAGCGACGCAGGTGTAGGGTGTGTACGCGGTGTGGACGGGTGTGCGGTGCGCCCGTCTGCAAACACGCTGCGACCCATCTCTTGTTGTCCTAGCAATGTTTGTAGTACTAGGTGAGTGTTGAGTGTTTATGTGTGACTAGCCGACGACCGAAATGTCTGGAGGCCCCGTAACGTCCTAAACATTAGGTCTTACGCATGCTTTGTAAAGGTGGAGCTTGTGTCTTAAGGACAGTTTGATATTTTTGTTAACTAGCGGGTGGAGGCGACTAGTAACGATTTTGGCACGATTGCAGACATTACGAATGTGTTTCGCCAATATAATATCGTGGTCAAATGTGACCCCTAGGTATTTGGCCGTTGATTTCTAGGGGATCTGGTGGCCGTACAGGATGATCGTACCTAACGATTTCTTGGGATTTTTGTTTTCGCGATTAAGGGTGGAGGGGGCTTTGAAAGTGTTTTGCTACACTTTTCTCAGTATTCACTTCGATTATCCATAAGCAATATTCGTACGTGGTAGAGCCAAGCTGCAGCTATATTTATAATATAGTTGTTGCACGAATGGGTCGACTCGACCGTGGAAGGACCACGGTCTCACAGAATACCAGCGTAAAATAGCAGCTTAATACTGCTGTTTCGTATGGTGAGTTTAGAGAACCGGAGACCCTTTTTACTGGAAAAGAAGTATTCCATCTTAGTCCTCAAGGCTGACAACGCATCTGCATTTTGATTCGTAAACGAGAATAGATGTAGATGTCTATGGACCACAGCAACCACTTACCATCAGGTGGACTGTGTGCTCGTTTGTCACCGTATTTCTATAAAAAAAATGAGCGGAACCAATCGCCTAAGCGGTTAGGAAAACGGTTTTTTAGTTGTTTGGTTGACTGCTGTTTGGAGCATCTCGGTGAGGATTCTTTTATTATAATGGGCGACGTAAAGTATCGTGTCATCGGCGAAAAGAGCAGTATTCACTACTGGCTCGTTAGGAATGTCACTCGTGAAGAGTGTGAAGAGGATTGGCGAGAAGACGGAGCCCTGTGGGACTCCAGCTTAGAGCGTAAGTTTTGTAGAGTGAGTGCCCTCTATTCTATACCGAAAGTGGCGATTGGCAAGAAAAGCTCTGATGATGTGGATGAGCCTATATCAGGTACGTTGAGTTTATACAGCTTAAAAAGCAAGCCGTTGTGCCAGACTTTGTTAAACGCTTTTCGCATCAAGAAGAAGGCACCGGTCGAAGTGATTCTACTTCTTCTTGGGAGGTTAAACCCTTTCAGAATTGATGTAGTGTATGAGCCGAACACTCGTGTACCGACCTAGTTTTTGGATCTGAAACCGAACTGCTCATCTGGAAGAAGTTTATTAACGAAGATGTATTTACGAAGGCTATTGAATATGAGTGAAACTTTCCCCAGTGTGCTAAGGATTTATACGTGGTAGAGCCATGCTGCAGCTATGTTAGTAGTATACTTGTAGCACGAATGGGTCGGTTCGTCCGGGGAAGAACCACGCTCTCACAGAATGCCAGCGTTAAATAGCAGCTTAACGCTGTGTTTCGTATGGTGAGTGTAGAGAACCGGAGACCCTTTTTACTGGAAAGTAGACATTCCATCTTAGTCCTCACAGGTGACAACGCATCTGCATTTTGATTCGCAAACGAAGATAGATGTAGATGTCTATGGGCCACAGCAACCACTTACCATCAGGTGGACTGTGTGCTCGTTTGTCACCCTATCATATAAAAAAGGAGGCTGATTGGTCTATAACTAGAGGCTAAGTTTCGCGATTTCCCTGGTTTCGGGATTCCTATCACATCTGCCTCTTTCCAAACATCCGGAAATGAGCAGCTGAAAAGAATATGCCCACCAGGAGGCATACACGTGGCACGGAGAGAGATTTCAGCACCCTGTTGCTAATGTTATCGGGACCGGTTCCTGATTTTTTTTGAGGTTTTGCTTCTGTGACTTCGTTTACAGTCACTGGTTCTAAGGGGTCGCCCTCTAACGGTAGTGCAGACTTACGCTCGACCTCCGCTTCGACCTCTGCAAGGTTAGTGGAATCTAACGGTTCGCTTGAGGGAGTAAATTGGCTCTCTAAACTTTCCGCGAGATATTAGGCCTTTTCAGAGTCGAAAAGGCGAGATCGGTGTTTCCTGGTCTAATTAGTGGCAGCATAGGTGAGGATTGTTCTACTTTTAGAGATTGGGTCAACTGCTAGAAGGCAGTTCGTGATGTCTTGATGTCCATCAGCAGATCATAATAGCAGTCTAAACTCTGTGATGCGCTGTTTCACCTCTTTGGGAGATTGCGCAGTCTGAATTTGATTTTTATTATCTGATGGTGATCGTATTATCTTAGGGCCGCGTTCTTCTCTCTAATCAGCTGTTAATTACCTCTTGGAAGCTTAATGTGTCAATTGCTCCACACATGAAGCATACGAAAGCATTCTTAAACTGTAGAGGTAAGGTGGGCCGATAATCGCCTCATTGGCCTTCTCTGGCGAGTCTATCTTGTCAGGGATTATGTCTAAGTGCTAGGAGGTACTAGACTCGCGTATAACCTCGAAGTTACACCTGTCCACGATGGTAGTCCACCTGCGGGCTGGCCCAGCTGCATTAGGACTGGTCTTTGGTCCGAGTCGAGTTCTAATATGTTGTTGAATTGATGTTTCAATCGATGATATCGACAAGCGGACATCTTTGAGTATAGCTAGGTTAAGAAAGTCTTTCCAGAGGACCGGTCAAGTCCCGAAGGTCACCTGCCGTCTTCATGGGAGTGGCAAGAGGAGATGGGGGTGACCGTTGAGGAGCTGGACCGAGCCATTAGCCGCCTAAAACTCCGGAACACAGCACCGGGTCCCGACGGAATCCCGGGCCGGGCCCTAGTGCTGAGTCTGGCTGCTCTGGGGAACAGGCTCAGGCAGCTGTTTACCAGCTGTCTGCGGTGTGCCATATTCCCCACAGCCTGGAAAGAGGCAAGGCTGGTTCTCTTGAAGAAGGACGGCAGGGCTGCAGATTCTCCCTCTGCGTACCGACCCATATGCCTGCTGGACGAGATTGGTAAATTGTTCGAGAGGATAGTTGCCACTCGGCTCAGCGGGCATCTGTCGCGCGTCGGTCCCGATTTGGCTGACAGCCAGTTTGGATTCCGACGGGAGCGTTCCACTGTAGATGCGATTATGTGCGTCCGCTCCCTGTCGGAACAAACAGTATCACGGGGTGGCGTGGCGTTGGCGATAAGTCTTGATATCGTCAACGCCTTTAACTCTCTACCCTGGGACGCAATCAAGAGGGCACTGGCACATCATCAAGTGCCCCCCTACCTACATGGTATTATTGGGGACTACTTGCGCGACAGGTATATTGTGTACATGGCGAAAGATGGTAGAAACATTCGGAGGGAGATCAGACGTGGGGTTCCACAGGGCTCGGTGCTGGGACCACTACTGTGGAACCTCGCGTACGATGCGGTTCTGCGAGTCGACCTTCCCGCTGGCGTAAATATCGTGTGCTATGCCGACGACACCTTGGTGATCGCCAGCGGGATAACTTTCGAGAGAACCAAGGAGCTCGCCGAACTTGGGGTGGAAGTCGTCGTCGCCAAAATCCACGAGTTGGGTCTAGAAATAGCGCCTCTCAAGACCGAGGCCCTATGGTTCCATAAATTACCACGGGGCAGGGAACCACCCAACTCGTGCGTCCGCGTGGGTGGGTCCGAAGTCAGAGTGGGGAGGTACATGAAGTACCTAGGCCTCCACCTTGACAGTCGCTGGGGCTTCGAAGAACATTTCGAGCGCCTAGTCCCCCGGATCGAAAGGGTGGCGGGTGCTATGCATAGACTGCTGCCCAATCTAGGGGGACCGACGGAGGAAGTACGTCGCCTCTATGCAGGAGTTATACGGTCCGTAGCTCTGTATGGAGCGCCTGTATGGGCAAAAAGGCTGGCCATCCGACGCTGTAGAACTAAAATTTACAGTGTCCAGCGAAGGATGGCCATACGGATCGTACGAGGATACCGCACCATATCCTTTGAGGCGGCGACAATCCTGGCTCGCTTTCCACCACTAGATATACTGGCGGAGATGGACGCGAGGGTGTGCGACCGAATCCGTGCCCTCCGCCAGAGCGGTGGTAGCGAGCCAGAAGAGGCGCTCGAATCAGTTAAACGGCAGGAACGACAAAACGCCCTAGCGACATGGCGCACTCGATTCGATGAGCGCTATGAATACAAACGCGTCATTGGAGCAATCCTGCCGGTTTTCGATGCCTGGATGCAGCGACGAGTAGGAAGACTCACCTACAGACTTACACAGATAATTACCGGGCATGGGTGCTTCGGTGACTATCTGTGTAAGATCGGACGCGAGGCGACGGCGAACTGCTTCCACTGTGGTGGACAGGACCAGGACTCCGCTTCTCATACGCTCGCAGTATGCCCAGCGTGGGAACGGGAGCGGACAATCCTGGTGAACCGCATTGGACGAGACCTCTCCCTGCCAGCAGTCGTGTCGGCGATGCTGAGCGGGGATTCGGCGTGGAGGGCCGTAGCCACCTTCTGTGAATCTGTTATAACTCAGAAGGAGGCTTCTGAGCGGGATCGGGAGAGGGCGGATCCCGCACGGAGACGACGTCGCCAAGGCGTTCGTCACGGCCCTCCTATTGAAAACGGTGTTCCCCTACCAGAAACGGGGCCTCCGGGGTTGCAGACGCTCGGGGCGGGGGCCTCGAGCGTCTAGCTATGTAACTCTTGAGGAGGACGATGACTCGGAATTGGTCTCGAGACATCGTGATAGCACTGCGAGGGTGCTGGGGGCAGCAATTACTGCCCCCGGGACGTGCTATAGGTGTAGCAAAGCGACGGAGGGGCCCCGGTTGCGTTCCGAACGGAGATCCCGGGACCCCTCGTATACGCTGATGGTGACCACCGTGGGGTTTTAGCCAGTATGAGTCCGGCATAACCTTTTCGTTGCCCCCGTAGCGGAAGGTATCCATGAGGATTTCCCCACGTAAAAAAAAAAGGTTAAGAACGTCTGGTTGGTGACTGGTTGCGAATGGGTAGGGAGTTGGAGTCTTAGGTGCAATAACATCGAAGTTAAGTCGCTCCGTGAGATCGAACAAAACCATACCAATGAGATTGCTTGTACGCGAATTCCAGGAGGAATGAAATTATAACACTGGAGCCTAGATTGAGTAATTCTACAAAGTCTGATTCAACTATGCCTCTGGGTGTCGGTACGATGGTGAGTGGCGGATGGCCAATCGAGAGCTATTTAGCTATTTTAGAGACTTCTATGTTGGTTAACGGGAGGCGTCGATCGGTACGCAGTGCAAGGACCTTTTGTAGTAGATCAAGGTGCCGCTTCTAGGCCTGGTCAACCTATCATTTCTAACTATGGTTAATTTGCGATCTTAGGGTCGCGATGGCTAAGCTTCAAGAAGGTCTCTTGTACCAGCATAATGTCTACATCGTGTTTACGCAGGAAGAGCGCGATCTTATATGTTTGGTCTCTAAGGTCGTTCGCGTTTACGAACGCGACAGTTAGAGAGCGTGGTTTAGTTCTACCTAAAGTTTGTGCTGCCATTTTGATTTTTAATCGAGGTAATTAGGTGCACTGGAAAGACCAGATTACGCCGATTAGCCTTATGTGCTCAATTGTAGGGCGAGCTCATCCTGTGGGGTGTTGGCTCCGCGTAGTTTGTGGGTCAAAGAAGATAATTTAGCAACGTTAATGTTGCTTATGAAGCCGCAGACTAGAGAGAAGTCAGCGGCAAATGAAAACGCGCCTTGTGGGATAGACTTCGATTTTAGGACTCGGGAAAGCAGCGCTAGCCGTAAGGCTACGAGTGCCAGCGGTTTCACCCAAGCATTGGGTTTTGGCGCGGAGGGCACTGGTGTGCTAGACCTTGCTCGGCCGCCCCGGCGACTGAGGTGGGCTTGGTGACGATTTCAGGCTCGGAAGTGGGCACCGAAGATGGTGCGGGCTTGGGGGCAGACAGCCGAGAGGGTGACATACTGGATTGACCCGCGCGTCCAGGACGGCTTTTACCTCCGCGCTGCTTCCTTTGCGGCTGCACCTGGCGCGTAGGTATGCTAGGGTGTGTACCTAGCTGTTGCCTAATGCAACAAGCAACACAAAAATTAAAAACGATGGCCGCCCCAAAGGCGGCGGGTGTGTTTCACTCTAATTACGGTTGCCGATACCAGTGCTAGGAAGCCAGAAAGGAGAGTTACGCACAAACACGCAGTGCACCACAACAAACATCCGATACAAATCACAACCACACAGTAAGGCTGCTGTCTCCCGGGACAGCGTGCTTCGCGCACCACAGACAGAACACCAAGGTAGCAACAAAACACAGAGCACCAAGGTGTATATCGGTGAACACAAAGTTAAAATAATGCATGAGCAGGAGCAAAGAGAGTGGAATGACGGGAGTGAACTCGACCGACACGTTTGGATTCTACAAAGCCCAAACGGACTCATTTCAGATGCGAGCAGGGTGAGGTGTGGTGGGAGCGGAGCGCGCGCGCCACTGCCTGCTGCTTTTTGCCTCCTTCCCTAACATACATCCCTCGCACACATTTCTCGGAACACATTCCTCGCACACATCCTTCCCTTGTTTTGTATAGTATACAAATACCTCGCTCCGCTGAGCCGTTTCCACCAAAGCTGCGCTGAGCGAGGCTAGGTAAATGAAGTGATTCTATTGTTTCTTAACAAACACGTCCTTTTCTACGCATCCTCACACATTTCTGGTGAAAATGCAGCCTCACGGTGGAAATTTTTCATAATGTTTATGGGTCTACCCCTAAAATTAAACTATTTAATAGAAAAGATTTATCAAAATCGGTTCACAATTGACGATAAAACACACAAAAAAAGAACATCATTAGATTTGAGAATCTCCTTCTTTTGAATTTGGCTAAACATGTCGCTAATGGTTATTAGAGTTGCCAAAAAAAGAGTTGAGGTCTATGCTAAGCTCAATATCAGCTCTTTAAATCGTTGAGTTGTTATTGGACTTTACAACGTTCTTTAATTAATTGTGATAAAATGAACCATAGTTTTTTATTATTTTAAATTAAATCAGGAAGATGCTGCTGCCTATTTCTTGTTCTATTTCCTCTTATGCCACTCACGGGATTATTTTGCGTCGCCACTATACGCCAGATTAAAACTTACAAAGTTATAGATATAAAATCAAAGATCGCAATAAATTTTATTTTAATTCAATTCAAGTAGATTGTACATTCCTGTAATCATGACTATGAAATATGTGGTATTACTTTAACCTTGCTAATACCATAACACGAACTGCTCTTCTATGCGTTTTTTGTACCGCTCATGGACCAATACCCAGACCCCAAATAGTTGCTTAGTTCCTGAAAAATTATGTGAGTAGTTAAACAGTTGTTTATTTAGTTTAGTAGATCTTATGAATACCTGTTCCGTACTATAATCGAACCCTAAGCCTACAGTTACACAACCAAACGCTTAATCATTGGGCTACCGAGCTTTAAAAAATTTGGGTGTTCAACAGTATAAGCTTCTATACGCAGCGTTAATGTGCTGTACTGTTTGCAACACATTTGTTCTACTTCGGAACTGGTTTAAAAATACGATTTTTCGATGTTTTCTCAACCACAGAGGACAGGGACTCCGCATAATAAGAAGAAACAGTTAAAAGTCATGTTAAAATTAATAATACAACATTTTAATGTTCGAATATTTTCACTAGCCAGTTACATTTCCATTCAAAGTGGTTGTGTGATTTTAATTCCATTTATAACATTATTCAGATACAATAAAACTTTATTATTACTGTATCGGAAAAAATAATCAAAATGCAATAATTATAAATTAAGTTACGTAAGCACTTCTGTGGCATGTTTGTATTAAGACACAAGACGATTTTATATTCACTTTTATTCAGTTATTATTTAATACATATTATTTTTATTACTGTATCGTGCAAAAATGAATGAAATATTATGAAATAGTACTTATGTGTGTGAATGAAAATATTTACTCCGCTTAATACGATTTTGAAACTCATATTATGTTTACAATTAATTGATATGAATTTTGTTTTGCCCATATTGTGAGCCTCAATCCCTGACTGACAATGATGACTTAATATTATACGAAACTATATGATTTAAATTTGTAAAAGATGTCAGAAAATTTATAGCTAAGTTAAGAAATACCGAATTATAAATGAAAAATATTAATAGTGTGTAGTTGTGAGAGTAAGGTATAGAAAATTATCGGAGGTTAGTATATCCAAATACAATCGGCCTGACCAGCTGAGAGTTTGGAAAACCTAATAACTGATTAATTTTTAAAGTAGTTCTGACACTATTAAATACGGAATAAGTTTTAATGTTTTGTCAATGAGGAAAATGAGAATTTATTATGAACTGTATGGGAATATTTTCTATAATCTTGGGTACAATTAAATAATGATTAATAAATACTAAGCCGTGTAGTGGCGGTCAAGAATATCCACTACCCCATATCCTCCCGTGGGTGTCGTAAAAGGCGACAAAGGGAAACAGGCAGGAGATGGGCAGCAGCATCTTCCTGATAATAGCCAAATTACAATAAAAAAACTGCGGTTGCCAACCCGCTCGCCAAGCGTGGCAACTATGGCAAATACCCCCCTATGAATGACAGTAACAAAGAAACGGCCCCCAGTCCCCGGCGGCCCCGCTATTCCTGGCTACGGTGGCGACCATGGTAACGGCGGGGCAGGGGGTGCTAAGAATCTCCGGTGGAGGTTCGGTTGCCACCTTAGACGACTCGACCTGGCAACGTACAACGCACGCACCCTGAGGACTGACGAGAAGATCGTGGAGCTGGAAGAAGAGATAGACAAGTTGCGCTGGCATATTATAGGATTATCCGAAGTCCGAAGAGAGGGGGAGGACACGGTAATCCTCGAATCCGGCAACTTGCTCTATCACCGCGAGGGCGACCATCTGTCCCAGGGAGGTGTCGGATTTATCGTCCACAAGTCTCTCGTTAACAACGTTGTAAAGATCGGGAGTGTGTCGACGAGGGTTGCGTACCTTATACTCAGAATCACCAAACGGTATTCGCTGATGGTCATACAGGTTTACGCACCAACCTCGGCACACCCCGATGAGGAGGTGGAGGAAATGTATGAGGATATCTTTAGAGCCATGCATTCCTCCAAAACCCAATATACGGTGTTAATAGGAGACTTCAATGCAAAACTAGGCACAAGAGAGAACGGTGAGCTGAAAGTAGAGAAATTTGGAATAGGGCAACGGAACCCAAGGGGCCAGCAGCTGGCCGACTTCATGGAGAAAGAGGGACTCTTTATGATGAACTATTTCTTCCAGAAGCGGCCCCACAGGAAGTGGACCTGGTCGAGCCCCGACGGTTCCACAAAAAATGAGATTGACTTCATTACGACGACCAGACGACAACTGTTCAGTGATGTCTCCGTGATCGCGAGGGTGAAAACTGGTAGCGATCACCGAATGGTTAGAGGCACACTGAACCTAAACGTTAAGTTGGAGAGGTCTCGTCTAATGAAGTCAACGCTCCGTCCCCCTCGTGCTCTGTTCCAAAGTCCCGAAACCTTTCAGCTCGAGTTACAAAACCGTTTTTAGTGCCTGGAAGACTGCAATGAAGTGGACGATATGAATGACAAGCTCGTGGAAACTGTCCATGCGGTCGGAGCTAAGTTCTGCAAGACCCGCCGC